TATATATATAATGTGCACTTTTTCCCGCTATGGTTGTCATTTTGTTTGCTTGATAAAGGAAATGCTGTAGGTTCCGAAACATGGCTGTTATATGTGATACCATGTAAATCTGATGTCAAATAAAGATGCTTTGATACACTGGACTCTGATGTGCGGGTGACTACCTTATCGACAACGGTGTCAAGGTCCTCTGGGGAAGTGCCATCAAACTACCTTGGGAAATGCTGCAAAGAACAGAGCTACATCATCACAAGAGCATGTTTTCTGCACCAATTAGGAGGAAGAGAACCCATGATGTCACATTTATACTGCACCATGGAAACTTTTAGGTAGGGAAGAACGCATTTGTTTCAAGATACTAAGTGCATGTAAGAAACACCAGGAAATATCTATAAGGAGAAACATTGCTAAGATATTGTTTGACTGTTAGGATTAAATATTGTCAGGAAAAGAAATCTGTGTAAATGAAGATCTGTGTCTTTCTGGTGTTACCTTTTAATATGTGTTCCTTTCTCTACAGGAGAGCGAGCTTCGGATGACATTGGAAGAATTCACAAGACATTTCAAGCGCCTTTCTGGACAGGTAAGGCACATCATTCATGTAAATGTGTACTGGGCAAAAGTAATACAAACTTATAGTCAACCCCTACTTTGCCTAGTCAGGGCAAAATAACAGGTTCACTTTATAGACAAGCCCCTTGTCTAGTGACACTTCCTTCTCCTTTAATGGCCTGTTTGCCCACCTGAGCCTTGAGAAACAGCTTTGTGTATATTCTTGGTCACTCTGGTTAGGAGTTTTTCAAAAGTCTAAAGACCTTCTCTTATCCCAAGTGACATCTCTCAGGCCTGACAATTAGCCACTCAAGTGTTGTATGCTGCATTGTGGGAGATATGGGAGAGAATCACATGCTCCTGTCCCTTGAAGTATTGTGTGTGTCACAGGGCTCTGACTTCTGGACAGGGCAGCAGAGGAACTCAGGAAAGGTATCCGCAGTGGTTCATATCGGCTAGCAAACCAATCTGTTGCTTTGCCTGATTTAAGGAAGTACATGTTTGGATTGGGGTTAGCTTAGTATGTGTTCAAATTACAGAGTCTCTTTAAAGTGGAACTACAGCCTCCTATCCCATACAGCCAAGGAAGGTGCCATCTTAGCCTCTATTTGGATTTTATTTGCATTGGTGCTGAACATGTGACCAGCTATGACACCAGCCATCTGCGGGCTTGAAATTTCATTTGTGAGCTGAAATAAGCACACTGACAGCCTTGCTTCAAAAGTAACTTTTTTGGGAGACATTAAATTGGTGGGTAAAGTTCCTCTTTAGAAGTAGGTCACTTATTTTGTATGAACAGTGTATATTTGCATGTTCTAAACCTTTGTTGCATTCCAGGACGAGGAGATCAGTCCCGAGGAGTTACAGAGCATCCTGGTCCAAACCACATCAAAACGTAAGCAACAGGGTGGAAGTTTAACATCTGGATGTTGGACACTTTTCTGATTGGATGTAAAATTGAAAGGCTTCAATAAAGAGACATTTATAAAGGGGAACTTTTCGCAGACTTTTTAAAAAAAAATCACAAATTCATTATCTTACCACATGAAATGTACAGTAATCCACAGCAACCAATCAGAAGTCAAGTTTGTGTTTGATCTGCAGTAACCTGGAATGTAATTAGTTGCTAAGGGTCACTGCACTTTGCATATTATCTATACTTTTGCACTACCTTATTGGACTAGCCCAAATGTATAACCTTGTGGTGATAACCAATATGTCAGAATGTTTATTCTGATAAAATAAACTGTATTTTATTTATGAAAACCGGCCGGGATATGGAATTAAGGAGTTTTTCTACTTATTTTCACAAATCAACTAATAACTTGAGTTCTTTATTTGTGCTAACTTGAAGACAAAAAAATTATAATGTGCAAATATATATATATATATATATTTATTAACTAACATCAGTGCAAAATAATAAACAGAATATAACTGGTGAAAAAAAAGACTATGTATGGAAATTGCAATAATATTAATCAGCCAAAATAATACTAAACTTAGTAACTCCTGGAATACAATTAGTAACTCCTCAGTAGCTCAGCAGAATGTGACTAAATACTGTGCAGATGCAACACGTGACATCTCCCAGCCAAACAGATGTTCAAAAGCTCAAATTTCTACTGCACATGAACTAACTCATAATACTATGCGCAGGACTTGGTAAATCAGCCAAGAATCTATTTGAGGTAAAGATAAACTTCCACTAAGTTATTTTATTTTTTTATGTATACATCACAGCTAGACCATCGACTAGAAACTGAAATCAGCTTTGAGGAGACTCCAAAAATATTTCTCCCAAGATTAAAAGGGAGACAATTTTTACTGCAGATAAACTGTTCCTCCAATTCAATCCTGATGCTAACAATGACAAAATGGTTTAGTTAGATATATATGGCTAGTCAATTGCTTACAGATAAATAGAAATCTATTCCTTACCAAAAATCTAAAATTATTTTGTCTTAGAGATGTCAGCTTCTTGTCAGTGTAGGGACAAGAGATGTTCAGGTTCTCTTTGGTTCATTTCCCCCCGGCAGCCCGTCCATCAGCTTCATATCTCTCCTTTCTGTGTCAGTGTCCGTCCTCCTGTATATTCCTTCTTTTTTCAGTCCCCCTCTTAACTTTCTCCTAACTTTTATCAACCAAAATGTGGGAGGAGAAAGCTTATCTTAAATTAATTATGATGTCAGGAGAGTCTAAATCCCCATAATTGTTCTTGCATTTACCTGAAGAGGCCAATATTGGACTAGGAATAGTTTTGTATTTTTCCTTTTAAAATTCCAATATTATTCCATGAGATGACCTTAGACCTAAGCTTTGAACGAAACCATGAAATTTAACAGGGCGGCCTGTTATTTGGCAGAACCTATCAGACTTACTGTCTCTTTAAGAGATATATTGCTTCAGAAATTCTGAGCAAGAAAAACAAACGATTTTCTTCCACATACATTGAGAATGAAGTCAGTGGGTATTCACATTTTTTATTCACTGATTGCAAAAATAACAATATACCTAATGTAATTATTTGTACCTTAAAAAAAAAAACACACCATATTAATAATATATACTAATATATGTCAATAAGTACAACAAAATAATATATATAAAGTATATAGGTTGAATATTGTATAAAAAAAATATAAAATGACTAAATTAAGCAAATATTTAGATGCGTCATGCAGTAGTAATAATAATAATAATAATAATACAATTGAAATGATTGGTAATACCATTTCTATCACATATTACTGTATACAAGGTAACTTCTATTGTGAGCTCTTTTTACTATGATGAGAAAAGAAAAAAGAAATATCATGGCGAATTTATCTTTTGTCCTTTGTTAAGCCTGAGACATGACAATTCCATCAATCTCACAGTTTTTACACAGTCTGGTACCATGGTCAGCCCTTATCTTGTCCTTGTTGTCTGGTACCCCCATAATTTACAACCTGGGAATGTATGTGGTAAGGCTTTGAGAATTGCTGATGTTAGAGTCTTTGTCCTGAAACCATTAACTCAAATTCACCTTATATACTGTAATAATATAAAGAACAAAGATGGCTTCCAGGATGACCATATTACATTATGTAGAATAATAAGTATAGACCTTATAGTTTAATTCCTTTTAGCATTCAATAGTTCCGACAAATCCCTGAAAATTGTTAACCTTTGGGTTATACTGCCACCTACAGAGGGATTAGACTCAAGGTGCACTCATATTAGATCTGTGAGTGCTTCTTGGTCTTTTTTAGCATCAAGCAACTTTTTCCCAGATATTAAGGCTTCCACCTGGTATTCTGTTGTTCTTGAAGTCCATTGAGGGACACAGGTCCCACCACTCTGTGTTTATGCTCATGCTCTCGGTACTGCTTTGTTACAAAGTTGAGGCATGCTGATAGTGGGAAAGGTTATCCTGGGGGCTAGCTTATGGTTTTTGTTTGCCGGTGTCCAATCCCCCTGTAGATGGCGGTATAACACAAAAGCAAAAGACTTACTGTGTTCTTCAATGGATTTGAAGAAAAGGATTTTATGGTGAATACAAAAATCCTATTATAGGAGAGATGAGTAGGGGTGTGAAAATACACAGCGATGTTATTTGTTTCCCAACAATTTCCTTCTTTGTTGCAGACACGCACCTGAAGACAGATGGTTTCTCCATGGAGACCTGCGAGCTTCTTGTAAAAATCGCAGATGTATCCTTAGCAGCAGAATGTTGTATCATGGCGGCTGTCAACTGAGACAGGATAATGTAGCAGCTGAAGGTTTATCTTTTATTGGCTAACAAAATGCATCAACATTGTATATATCTATACCACAGCTTTTCATTGGCTTGTAACATCTGTTATTGCCTAAACCACATGGTGGATCTTGAGGTGGATGGAGGAATTGGTGCCCACTTGTTGCCAATTTGAAGAGGGATGGATCTGCACCATTACCCAAAGATCTATGACCAACAATAAGCATTTTTTGTTAAATAGAAAATGCTGATTATCAGCCCCTTGGTTAGTTCTGAATAGCCTAATTCTTGACCCATCATTGTATGAAGATGTTGAATCAGGGGCAGGATTAGGCCATTTATTTGCACCCTTAACATCCCCCATTAAACTCTGGATGTGTCCTTATTCTACAGCAGGGGTGGGGAACCTCTGGCCTTCCAGCTGTTTTAAAACTACAAATCCTAGAATGCATCTGTCTGTGGGAGTCATGCCTGTGGCTGTGAGAATTTCGCAGTGTCTCATGGGATTTGAAGTTGCACCACACCTAGAGGACCGGAGGTTTCCCACCCCTCTAGTAGGAGATTCCCAACCTCCGTCAGATCGGAAGCCACATTTTCATCAAAATCTGGTTGAATTAGCCTAAACAATGCTGCATATATGGCCGATATACACACATCAGAGTTAGAGAATGTGCACAGCTTTGTCCACACATATTGATTGACACATCTGCAGCATCCCTCCTTAATCCATCGCCGACCCATTCCTACCACTGTGAGGCCGGACAACATGGATGCTCTTTTTGAAATCAAATAAGGATATTTGTAGATACGATTCTAGTAAAGTCAGTTTTAATGGTTGAAAGTTTTACTGAAGTCTATTTTATCTAAGATTAGACATTTCCTTAAACTCAAAGTTATTATGATGAACTGAAGTCCTCCACAAGAAATGCTAGCTGAGTTTTTGAGAGAAGAAATGGTCTCTTCTGCCCAGACCTTCTTTACCTGTCTGCTAGAATTCTTGTAATTGTACAAAGCCCGTGGAGTATGTACAATGCTGTGTATGCAGATGCCAAGAGTTCATCTGTGTGCCAGGACAATGTAACTGCAGAGTGTTGGCACATTATCATTGGCAACCATATTGCCAAAAATGGAAGTTGCCAGTCCGGAAAAAATGGCAGCGCCAGAGCGACGAGGGGGAGTGCAGACTTTGCATCTTTGGAGGAGGACAAATTGACAGGTACATTTTCTATAATGGGAAAATGCTCCTGTGGATCTGTGGCGGCTCAGTTCTGCTTTAATGTAAGAAACCGATATGCGTCATGGGGTACATAAAGGACTGATAGAGAACCAGTGATCTATGACATTCATTCTTATAAGCACCACTGTATACCAGCCCCCTGACTGCCATAGAGGAGACAGACTTCCCAGCACAAGTGAAGTGTTATCCAGCATCTCATTAATGTTTCAGGGTCCTGCTGAAGTCACACTTACTTCCAAATGAGCCACTTTCTTTTCTCTGTTACATTGTTGATGGTACAAAATGCAGCCCTGGCATGGTATGAGCTGTCCATCTTGCCAAGGGGAAGGAGAACCCAAAATCCATGCTTGACCTAGTCATTTTTTTTCTTGGAAAATATGAAGACTCTGCCTAGGCCATTCAACATTACATTGTGTATTTCTGTGTTCACCTTAACATATGAATTGCAGCACGGGAGAAGTGGAACACTGCTGCTTAATGAATTTAAGTATCTCTGGAGCAAGATTAAAGAATGGGAGGTAAGACTTCCTAAAAGGTATTTTTGTAGCTAAATATGTGGCAAACTAAATGTAAAAACCATTCTATTGGTATGTATTCATTTTTATATACTGTATTTGTTATTTCCATGTTTTTTAGCCTATATGTATACAGTGGCGTCCATATTTGCTCATTACATACAGTATATGGGTTTTACTACCTCCCTAGTACTGCAGTACAAGTCATTGTGCCTAAAGCTGGTCATACGCCTATAGCCTAAAGCTGGTCATACGCCTATAGATTATCTGCAGACTTTCTATGGTCAGATGGAAAAAGTGCTACAGATTCCTCCATCTACGCTAAACTGTGTGCACCACCACGCCCCCTCCGGGCCTTGAACGCAGGAAGCCTGCTAGGATGCGCCCCAGTGCGTTCCAGCAGCGAATCGTGCTGAGAGAACTTGGAGGCCGCTATTTTTACATCATTTTAAAAATGCTAGTTTCCTGGTTGTTATGCTGACACAGTGGTTTTTAATAGTTTCTGATCCACACCGTCTGGGAAAAAGCTTTTTTTAGAAGGAGGTCAGTAATGGTCACCTTTCACGTTTCTCCTTCCTTTTTGGAGCTGTTTGACCTTCCAGCTTAGACATGAATACAGGGAGAGTCAGGTCTCAGCAGCAATGAAGGGAGAGTCAGATCTCAGCAGCCATGAAGGGAGAGTCAGGTCTCAGCAGCCATGCGGGGAGAGTCAGGTCTCAGCAGCCATGCGGGGAGAGTCAGGTCTCAGCAGCCATGCGGGGAGAGTCAGGTCTCAACAACAAGAGCTGATCGATCAGCGGTCACATGATCGCTCAGCTCTCGGTCTTAGAGCCGGAATTTGACAGCTGCAGTGTGAGTATATTCTACTCTCCCCGCACTTTAATACAACCAATGTACACATTTAGGGCTTGTGTAGCTGAACATATGCTGCATGTTTTCAGGTGCAATCAGCTTCCATGTGAGAGCCTTCTAATTTCCTCCTAAGCTGCATAGTTCTTGCATTCATACATATCTATTGCCATTGACTTGTATGGACAGAAATCCTGTTCTGGTGTGAATACATGCCCATGTACAAAGCTCTTTACCTCTTTTCCCAGCAATAATTACTATACTTCAGATCTGTGATCACTAATGCTCAGTGTGGACAGATGTCTGGTGTCACTGCTGCCATCTGGTGGTTATAGCGAAGATTTAAAGTGACATTAAAGTCTCCATTTTTTTTACATATATGTACTACTAGCAAGCATTAGATACATATTCAAAAACATCTGGAAAAAAAAAGTTCGCTAATAAGTAATAATTTTAACTTATCTGAGTCTCCACTGCTTGCTCCCGGCTGCAGAATCCAGCTTCTCGAGCGGCTTTGCAGGAGGATGATGTGGGTGGGTGGGTGCATGCGCAGTGGAGATCACTGGCAGGGAGAGCAGGAGAGCTACTGTGTAAGTGAATGTACGAAGTCGTGAGTGTGCACGCCGGACAGACTCCGTGTGACAGGAAGAGACAGCAGTCTGCGCTGGATCAGAGACCGGCACCAGCACTGGAGGGATTGCTGAAAACGAGTGGAAGGAAGATGTTCGGCTCAAGAGACATCACTTAGGGAAGTCCTTAAAGCAGCATTGGGAGGGATTTGACTTCAATGTCACTTTAACTGCAGCAGTAGGTAAAAGGAAGACGTTTTTATACACTCAAAGTTTACTTATGTTTCTGGTTTTAGCGTTTATTCACAGAACATGATCGAGACCGATCTGGGACAATGGATGTACAGGAGCTGCGGTTGGTCCTGGAATCGGCTGGTTAGTTATTTCTGCAATCTTTTCTAGATATTATATCTTCTGTGTTGTTTCATTCTCGATTGTAAGCTCTTAGGAGCAGGGCCCTCCATATCCTCATGTATTAAATTATATTGTAACTGTACTGCCTCCCTTAATTATGTAAAGCATTGCGCAAACTGTTGGCGCTATATAAATCCTGAATAATAATACTAATAATCTTATTACTATTTCTAAGGATGAAGCTTATAGTATCTTAATATTTCCATGCAAAATCATCTTTAACTTGTGTTCCTTGTACTTTTTGTTGCCCTCATCAATGAAAAATCTAAAAATATCTTCTTAGGGTGTGTTCTTTATATTAGTATGAGTCAAGGGCAAGGGTCTGTTCTCCCAAAGTGTTATTTTAGTTATAGGAGGTTGGTAAGCAGAGTCACCCTCTGGCTTCTTATATGTCTGGGATATTTCAACAGTGACCTCTCTATTCATATTTCCGGACTCTGTTCCTGCCCACCTCTCTGTTTTGCGTGGATTGACTCCCATTTTGCATTTTCCCCTAATATAAAAATTCCATCGGTAGAATGGCAACCCTCATAATGGGGCCAGTAGGTATACAGACCCAGGAACTCAGCACACAGATCCCATCAATGGATTCCCTGAGAGATACAAGAAAATGTGCAGTGGTTTAACTCTCCAGTGTCGACCTACCCTTTAAGGGGTTAGTTTATGTAGTAAATTTTAGATATACCTGAATAGGTTTCAGGACAATTTTCACAATTAGTTATTGTGGGGGAAGAGGATTGCACCAATCGCTCAGCATTAAGGTAAGCTTGGGTAAGAAGCTTCAGTACTTCTGCATGAATGACTCTGAATTAGTATGCAGATGGAGTTCTGACGTCACCTTTGGCATTCTAGCTCTGAGACAGTGTCCTCTGCCCAGGCTGTGCACACTAAAGTATATACATATTCTAAACAAGCAGAAGAAGGAAGCATATTAAAACAAGCCCCCATTCACCTCTGTATCTACGGTATAAGCATTGTGGAGAAATGCATCTTCAAAGTTCACAAGTGTGGAAAGCAGATCCCTTGGAGGGGGAAACCTGATCTTTGCAGCTATAACTTTTGACAAAATATAAAGATATCTCAAAGTAATATTTTTACAAAATAGCTTCTATGCTTACAGGGTCTGGGAACGCTATGACCCCATTTCAGCAGGCTGCAGTTGCGCTTAAGAGATGTTAATTGGTCCCAAAGGCATGCTACAAGGACACAGTATTTGACCGAGACGTCACTTTAGGGAGACAACACTTTACGGTGCCTTCAGTGCAGTTTGATGAATTAGGATGTATGTATCTTTTTTTTTCTGTGTAAACGGCTTCTCCAGATCCTCAGCTGTAACTTCTGTTTTGCAGGATTCCATCTGGACAACAAACTGGTGGAGATGCTGTGTCTGAAATATGGAGATGATCTCAGAAGAGTGGATTTTGACAGCTTCCTGTCCTGCATGGCACACCTCCTGGGGATATTTGGTAAGTGACACACACAATGTTAAATGCCTCCATCATCAGTGCAGCCTTTTAAAATATGCGGTTAGAATAGATAATCGGGGCCTGGCCAATCAAGCAAATAATGTAAACCGGGAAGAGGACCGAGCCAGCTGTGTTAGAGGGGATCGGTTTGGCATGTAAAGCTGGCCATGCACCTGTCAATTTTGTTTTTCGTTTAACCCGCGGACTGAATGAAAAAAATGTATGCGATTTTTCCATCAACACAAATAGCGTATTTGAGGAATCGTCACTGTTTGCATTCTGACAAATGCTGCCAATACCTGTCAGAATACAATGTAATCAGAGCGGGCAGCTCATTGGTTGACAGCTCTGATCGTACGAAGATTTTCCAGCCGACTCCTCAATCAGCTGACCAAGGAATGCCGGCTGAAAGGGAGACGACAGCCCCACACACTGTGCGAATTTCGTCCGCTACATTAAAAACCGGCCGAAATTGGACCAGTGTATAGGCACCTTTAGGCTGGGTTCACACTTGGGTGTTCGTAATATGCGCGTTTGATGCGACAATCACGTGTTTACGAGGCTAAAGCTGTATGCTAATGGATATGCGCAGAAAATACGCCCCAAAGAAGCTCCTGTACTTTGGGCGTAGGGCGCTTTTCAGCACGTTCCTACGCGCTGAAATACGCCCGGGTGGGAACCATGCCCATAGGAAATAATGGGATTTCACTTGCTGGGCGTTTGTACAGCGCGTCGATCAGCGCTGTAAAACACCCAGTTGTGAACCAGGGCTTAGTCTTCCCTAATGTGGTAATATGCTGTGCTGTCCATTATATTATTGCTTAAAGCTCCTGGGGGTTCTGGATGCACAGAATTGATTGGGACCAGTTTCCTGCATGGCTTCACTACCCAAGTGAGACCAGAAACAAATATGCAGGACAGGATTCTCGGTGGCCTATTTATCATCATTAGTAGGTTTACTTTGTGCAGTGACAGGAAGGGCCGGCCCTGACTTCTGTCATATAACAGCAATAAAATGACTATCATAGAAATGCAGTTATTGTTTAGAATTCAGTTACTAAATCCCAATAAAATCCTGTGTATTATAGGGGTATGCTATCGTATGGACCAAAACAAAGATGGTGTCGTCAGCCTTGGTGAACAGCAGGTAAGATGTGCAAAAAAAAAAGAAACCATGTAGAGCATTTTATAAGTATGACTGTGTCTCGATCCATGTATACATAGCAAAGATTTTATAAAGTCAATTATACATAGACAGGCCACAATGAATGACACCCATGCTTCAGAGAGGCCCGGGGGGCAATTGCCACCCTGCCCCCCGGCCCAGTCCGCCCCTGCATATCACCGTCCATTGATGTTATTTAGCATATATACGAGAGTGTTTTGTGTAAAAAGAACGGGCATGTTTCTCATAGCTGCCAGATTTCCTTTATCACAAAATATTAAAAGCCGAATTGGCTGCTATAGGTACTCCGGACACTTTTCTTATTTAAATCTGACCGCATAGATTTCCACATGTATGAATGCTATTGTACAAGAATAAGGTGACGTTACCCATCACAAATCATTGCTGGTATCTCCCAGACTGGGTAGGAAAAAATCAACAGCCAGAATCTTATTGGAAGTTGTGGAAGACGTGAATAGTCCGTATACTCAACTCTCCTGTAAGACAAATGTTTGTGTACAGGGTTTAGGATCACTTTACTCTGTAGGTTAGGAGGAAGGGCCCATTCACAGTAACCTGCAGTAATGCACTTGTGGGTGTTGTGGTGGTACACATCTGAGCTGCAGTGCACCACAACACAGGGTGTGCGAAGACTACTCTTGCTGCAGGTCAGATTCTCAGTCCACAGAGGTGCATGGGCTTCCTTGATGCAACAGGCATGTATAACACTTAAGGGCCCCTCTGGACCATTGCAGTAACTTACCATGCACACGTTAACGTGTATTAGTAAAGCAGCCTTTTTTTTTTTTAATAGCCTGCCAATGGACCAAAAACCAGACCTTCAGCATTTCAATGCACAACACAAGAATTGTAGTGTGCTGCAACACAGGTCCTTTGGCATAAACTGGACTTGTGTCGCCATTCTAAATGAATGACACTGAACATATTGCTGTGCATTGTGCTGTGTTTTCCCACAACACATAGGTCTGAAAGAGAACCTTTACTTTGCCTATGCAGGGAGCTAAGAGGGGACACTCTATGTAAGTTCCAGGTTTGTCTGGTTGGAGCCTAGACAGGAATGAGGGCTCTCTCCCCGCCATCTTATTACAGTGCTGGGTGTACGTGTGTCCAATCACCAACGCTGTAGTGTGGGCAGGAAGGGGAGTGAGTGACATATACAAGGCATTGCTCTTCTCTCCCATCAGTTGAAGCGAGCGGTGAGGGTGCACAGGGAAGGTATTATGTGCATCTGGGAAGGGCAGCAAAATAAACAAAAAGGAATACCATTACTGTCATTCTAGAGTAGATTTTGGGTTTTGCACAAAGAATCTTTAAAGCGGTTGAAAGACGGTGCATACAACTGCTGAGATCCACAGTTTATTTTCATTGAAGAGATGACGTCTCATAGGTTCCTATGGGTTGCTGCGCTTTATGTTGTTCTGGTGAATAAGCCAACCAGATATAAAATAATAACAACAACAATTACCTTTATATTGGGCCCTTCAGCAGTCACAATTCTACTTGTTTTTCAGCATATTTTGTTTCCAGGGCTTGTACAAGACATGCAGTTCTCTATTAACTAGATGTCACAAGCCCCGTGTTTCCTCCCAGACTTGTTTATATTTGGGTGTTTGCTGCAGGATATTCATAAATGAACTGAAGTCACATAGTTCACACCAGTGCAAAGAAAGTCGAAAAAATCCTGACTGCGAACGTTTGTACTTTCAGACCCTCTGCAATGTATGGCAGCACACAAAAATGGAGTTGTTTTTTTCTTTCATGCTTACAACAATAAAAGGAAAAAAACCCACAAAATCCATCCTAACTGCATGTTGGATGGCCTTTTCACACAGGCGGAACTCAATATAAGTAGAAATCATAGGCGTGGACAGGGGCGTAACTAGAAATCACAGGGCCCCATAGCAAAATGTTGTATGGGGCCCTGTGATTGCTAGTTATGCCACTTGCAGAGCCCACCTGAGAGTGACCCTGCAGAGCCCACCATAGACTCTCTATAGTGGGCTCTGCAGGGTCTCAGATGGGCTGCACACCACTTACCTGTCAGCGCTGTCCGACTCCATGGTCCCCGGGCCCTGCCTCTTCTTATATCACTGGCCCCACCTGCTCTTAGGTCGCTGGCCAGTGATGTAAGAGGAGGCGGGGTTGCTCTTAGGCGGGCCCCGCCTCCTCCTTCACTGCGAACGCTGTCCTCTTCAGCCGTAGCTGCTGGCTGTCACTGACACAGCTCCGCAGCAGCTATGAGGGGAAAAGCCACTGCTGAGCTGTGTCAGTGACAGCCAGCACCCTTACATGCCATAGCGACCCACACGGCCTCAGAGGGATACCCTGGCCAGGCCCCCCTGGGCCCGGGCCCCATAGCAGCCGCCTGGGCCACTATGGCGATTGTTACGCCACTGGGCGTGGGCACACCCTGCACCCAACACCAAAACTGCAACATCGGTCTTCGTGTTTTTAGTCACCGAGTCGGTGATGATCACAAAGATCTCTCTGTGCCCGGCTCAGGGATACAGAGTGCAGCAGCATTTGCCACTTACATTCCTCACATATCAGTCCCAGTCCTCAGTGCCTGGAAAGCCTCTAGGGAGTGTGGCTGCAGCATCCCATCCAATGAGGAAGCAGGGCAGGTGGTCACATGACCACCTGCCAGGTTCGCTGCTTCATTACTGCGCCCCTGCTGGAAGAGGTAGGGGACAGCTGAAGAGATAGGAATGCAGGATTCCATGATCAGGTCTGTGTATGTATGAGAATACATAGGTGTGTGTGTGTGTGTGTGTGTGTATATATATATATGAATACACTTTTGTGTGCACACCCTAATGCAATAGGCTGCACACACCTATGGTAGAAATCCCATTCTTTCCTACGGAGCTGGCTCACATCTACAGTTTAGTGTGAATGGGACATTACCGTATATTAAAAACACCGACACACGCTGCATCACACATGGACCATTGTAAATCCAGCCTCAGACTTCGAAGCATGAACAGGACCTTGTAAAATGATTGATCGCTATTCTTCTCATTCGCAGTGGCTTCAGATGACTCATCTCCAATAAAAAGAACTCCCGCACCATCATAGACAAAGGACGGCACACTCCATTGACAGAATACAATGGGCCATGTTCACCAATAAAGGTGTAGAGGGGCCTCTAAACATTGATTATAACCTATTTTATACTCTAGTTTTCAGTTGAACATTGTGAAGATTTCTTACTTTCAGCAAATAAAGATTAATAATGTATTAAAATATCGTGTTTGAATGTATGGTGTGTAATTATATATGCGCATTAGAGCTTATCTGGTAACGTATGCAGGCTCCGTTTCCTGTTAAGGGAGTGCTGCATGATGGTTGGGTCTTCGGTAGCTCAATGCAAGACAAGCAGATGGGGTCTGTCTGGTCACACATGCACAATGCTCCAGGTAGCGAGAGAGATTAGGAGAATTTACCAAACCTGGAGCCGCTGTGCATGGTAACCAAGCTGCTTCCATCTTCAGCTACACTCTGGAAATGAAAGTTAGAAGCCGATTGGTTGCCGTGCACAGCTGCTCCAGTCTTAATCTCCTCTCATTGTGATTTGGGGTTGTAGATCACACAAGGGATTTACATGAGGGGCAAATGTTAACAGGTCCTGGAAAAGAAACCTTCACTATACTGATAGACTATGGAGGATGCCATTATCTGAAGAATCTGATTATTCTTATCTGAAGAAGCTTAATTGCCTGGGTGTCCTGATTCAATGTCCTTACTACATTCTGAGCCCAACCCTGGAAGAAGTATATGTCAACTTTCCAATCAGCATGCAGGTTCTGGGTCAGCGACCAAAGACTATTGTAGCGGGAGAGATCCAATCTAGCATTTTTAGGCGGCCAGCAATGGCAGTCACCTGCATTCCTCTACCTACAGGTTTCCTTTAATAGCAAATCTTCCAACTCTGCCCAGATGTCCAACACAGATCTGGATCGGTTATCATTGCCAAAACTTTTGCTTCGGCTTAGCAGGAATTTAATTTGGTCCGGGATTTTTGTATTGCAACTATATCCACCAACTGACTGTACAGTTCTTCTATGAGCCGATTGGAGGCAACAGTTTGCCAATGCGCCTTCTTGTGTAGTCCACCATTTCCAACTACTTGCCAGGCTGGATCATTCATGAATGTACAACGACGGCAAACTGAACCCGACTTGGCCTAAACAGTAACAGTGCGACCTGTGTTAGTCTAAAATCAGCCCTGGTAGAAGCCACTTGGATTTAAGATCTAGGCTGTACATGGATGTTCAGCATCTGCTAAAGTATTTATATAGTGCCGAACATTTACGCAGTCACATCAGCCACTGCCCTCAAGGCGCTTACAATGTAAGGTCCCGATCTCACATGCATACATACATACATATAGGGAGGATTTACACAGGAGACAACCTTCCAGCATGTCTCTGGAGTGTGGGAGCAAACCTACGCAAGCACAGGGAGAACATGCAAACTCCTTGCACAAAGTGTCCTGACCAGGATTTGAACCGGGGACCCCGAGTGCTGCAAGGCAGGAGTGCTAAACAGACTAGCTCCATTGTAGCAGCTTCAATACCTTTTCTCTGGTGATTTGTAGCTGGATACAGAGTTCTTGCTGTAGTGGACTACAAGACTATCCTACAAAAGCTCTACCACCAACTCATTCAGCTGTGAAGTGGCAAAGTCTTTACTGCTCAGTGAAGTTCTAGAATTTAACAGTTGGGATGCTTTGAAGTGACAGTCAGCACACCCATTAAAATCTGTATAGGACATTCCCAAAGCCAGGGCCGTCTTCAACACAGGGCAAAAGGGGCAGCTGTCCAGGGCCCAATCATTATTGTGGTTCCCAAAGCAGCTGCCCCTTCAGACCACATAAGATAAACACGTGCCGGGCTGGCAGCCTCACCTGTGTAGGCAATAGGGCTTGCACCAGCCCAGCCCCGTCTGTGTAGACGGCATTGGTGATCTACAGAGAGGAGGCTCCGCCCACTATCAAACCGGCCCAACCCCCTGCTCTCCCGTGTTGTCTGGGGCCCTGCTGGGAGCCCGCACTATGCCCTGAGATGTCACCCCCGCTGTGTCCCCTCCCCGGACCTTCACACCAAGTGCCCATATATGCCACAGTATGTGTATGCAACAGATACATATACTCCGTGTTATACATGCAGAGCAGGTCCCTGACATTGCTTCTCTAGTTCAATCTGTGCTGCTGAAGCAGGATTTAGCATTTAAGAAAATGTCATTATCAAGTTCTATGTATGGCTGCAGCAAAGCGTCCTGTGCTCTCAATACTAGGGATGCACCTATAGATAATATTACAAACAGGATCTGTGCTATGGGACAACAAACCCCGAAGCTGCCATGCTAAAAACTGTATAGAACACCTAAAAACGTGAATGATAAAAGTGCACTGCGCTATGTAAACCAACTACACATGTAATTTAATAATAATCTACATGTGAAATTAATACATGAATATACAGAATCACCCTAAGGTGAATAAATACATATTAGGTATTTGACCACTATATATTTGGGTTTTTTCACCGTAGGGTTATTCTGCATATTTATTCCACATGTAGATTATTATAAGATTGCATGTGTTAAGTCTATAAAGCGCAGTGCACGTTTATAATTCACTAGGGATGCCACTGCACCGATACTGACACCTGCACAGCTTCCCACCAGGATATTGAATATCCTGTCTCTCCTCCCCCTCTCCCCCGGCCGTCTCTCCTCCCCCCTCTCCCCAGGCCGTCTCTCCTCCCCCTCCTCTCCCCAGGCCGTCTCTCCTCCCCCTCCTCTCCCCAGGCCGTCTCTCCTCCCCCTCCTCTCCCCAGGCCGTCTCTCCTCCCCCTCCTCTCCCCAGGCCGTCTCTCCTCCCCCTCCTCTCCCCAGGCCGTCTCTCCTCCCCCTCCTCTCCCCAGGCCGTCTCTCCTCCCCCTCCTCTCCCCAGGCCGTCTCTCCTCCCCCTCCTCTCCCCAGGCCGTCTCTCCTCCCCCTCCTCTCCCCAGGCCGTCTCTCCTCCCCCTCCTCTCCCCAGGCCGTCTCTCCTCCCCCTCCTCTCCCCAGGCCGTCTCTCCTCCCCCTCCTCTCCCCAGGCCGTCTCTCCTCCCCCTCCTCTCCCCAGGCCGTCTCTCCTCCCCCTCCTCTCCCCAGGCCGTCTCTCCTCCCCCTCCTCTCCCCAGGCCGTCTCTCCTCCCCCTCCTCTCCCCAGGCCGTCTCTCCTCCCCCTCCTCTCCCCAGGCCGTCTCTCCTCCCCCTCCTCTCCCCAGGCCGTCTCTCCTCCCCCTCCTCTCCCCAGGCCGTCTCTCCTCCCCCTCCTCTCCCCAGGCCGTCTCTCCTCCCCCTCCTCTCCCCAGGCCGTCTCTCCTCCCCCTCCTCTCCCCAGGCCGTCTCTCCTCCCCCTCCTCTCCCCAGGCCGTCTCTCCTCCCCCTCCTCTCCCCAGGCCGTCTCTCCTCCCCCTCCTCTCCCCAGGCCGTCTCTCCTCCCCCTCCTCTCCCCAGGCCGTCTCTCCTCCCCCTCCTCTCCCCAGGCCGTCTCTCCTCCCCCTCCTCTCCCCAGGCCGTCTCTCCTCCCCCTCCTCTCCCCAGGCCGTCTCTCCTCCCCCTCCTCTCCCCAGGCCGTCTCTCCTCCCCCTCCTCTCCCCAGGCCGTCTCTCCTCCCCCTCCTCTCCCCAGGCCGTCTCTCCTCCCCCTCCTCTCCCCAGGCCGTCTCTCCTCCCCCTCCTCTCCCCAGGCCGTCTCTCCTCCCCCTCCTCTCCCCTGGCCGTCCCTCCTCCCCCTCCTCTGGCCTGGCCGTCTCTCCTCCCCCCCCTCCCCCGGCCGTCTCTCCTCCCCCGGCCGTCTCTCCTTCCCCTTGGCCATCTCTCCTCGCGCTCTTTTGTTTATTCTAAAAAGAAATGCAGTGTGGTGCAAGACTGTTCAGGTTTCGCTGACTGACATAGGCACTTACAGGCACCACTTCAGGTACGTTACCCTGTAAACCTATGTAGGGCAGGTCAGGTCCAAATGATCCCACATTTCAGTAGAAGGTAATTACATGTTCCGACACACATCACTTCTGTTCAACAAACATCATCACTCTTGCAGCTTTCGAAACTCTGTATTTTTAAACATTTTTTCCAAAAAAAAAAAAAAAATCATATACAGTTTTTAAAAAGAGGAACAAATTTAATTTACACAGAAGTACTAAATGTACATCATTCTTTAAAAAAAATCATTCTACATTATAAATACAGTAGAAATTCTTTTATAGTACTATATTTAGACCATAATGTTGGTTTTGGGATCGGAAAGGGTGAAAGATGATGGGGGGAGGGGGCGCTGTAATGTTTCTTTTCTTCTTAAAATGTTTTGTGAATGGAAATAAATACCGAAACTGGCGGGAAGTTATTACAGTAAGGAGCAGACTGTAACAATACGTCTGTCTGGATGAGGGAGGACGCATGGGCAGGCGGCTAACCATGCATGAGTAAATATTCTAACAACTTGAATGATGGAATCCTGACATAATATTACTGCAACTTACTCGGAGCCGTCTCTATAATGAAACAAAAATGGAGGCATCACAACAGACTAATAACACTCATTTTAATGTCCAGTAACATGTCACCGCCTGCAATTGGTTTGTCAAATGACTTTAGGACTACGTGCCGTTTCAGCTGGGCAACGTACTCCAAGCACCCGATGGGGAAAGGGGGACCTAAAAGTCTGGGTGAAGCAGCTCATGCATGCTGAACATGTGTCAATGCTGAGAAGGTGATACAATCTGCACACTCGCCTAACGGAAACATTGATAGAATAATAGTGTCCACTGTTATCCATGTGCAATTTATATCCCACCAAGTTACGGCAATCTCGGCCCATTCCACCTAGGGCTCAGCTAAACACAGGGCAAGGATAAAAGGAACTAAGAGGGGAAAGAAACCTTTGGTTTCCCTCGCTGGCCTCCTCCTGGCTGTCATGTTTATCCTCGGGCTACAACGCCTTCTGAGTCAGTCACTCACTCGGCATGACAACCAGGCAACTAGCAGTTTTTACAGGTGGTCAGCAAAGGCAAACTTTTGGGTTGCCACAGGTTGACATGGACATTTGCTTCATTTGCAACCACGTGACTTAACAAGAAGCAGCTGGCAACAACGGGTGAATCTCGCTCTACTGCACAATTAAAGCTCTTTGAGGCGTACTTGAGCTGCCCACAAGGGGCAATTCATAAATCGGGCCCGCTTGAGTAAATCACACAAAAGGGGCATCTAAGTGCCTGGTGCTAACCAGAGGCATTTTCTCCCGCCGGTTATGGTAGGATCAATGTGCTGCAGTCAAATGTCGCACGGGTAATGCGATAAGGAACACACACTGCTTGACACGTCCTTTGCAGGTTGACCTGTCTATGGGAATTCTACATCCTACTTTTCTCTACAGCCCGTCTATTCCTCTATTCGTACATGAACTCCCCTACTCTCACACATTTCTTCTAAAAGGATGCGACACGTACGAAGGGACCGGGTTGCCCTATCCAGCACAGACGTACTAGTCCGACTCCCAAGTCAATGTAGAAGTTATCTTGATTGGACATTTACCACCCCCCGGGTCTGATGAATAACCCTTTTATTCTTGGTGCACCCCCAAAACAAAAACAAGTGAATATTTTTCATGTATAGTGCTGTTGTGTGCACTGTGCATTCATTTGCTATTTTCCCAGATTGGAAAATTATAATAATTAAAAAAATACAACACAGAACATAAAAAAATCCCCTGACTTTGATGCTTGAATAACTTAAAGAAATATCATTACAATAAACTTTAATACGTTTTGAAGCCAGTCCCTTCAGTTTCCTCCTTAAAAGGCGAAAGTTTTTTTTTTTTTACTCCTTTGTAATTTTTTTTTTTGACAGTTCAAGTTGAGATGAGAAAAAACAGATGGAAGCGGGAGGTAATAGGGGAGGGGGGGAAAAAGAAGACAAAAAAAAGCTTTGAAGGCAACAGATCACCAGTTGAACGTGTCCTTTGAAAAGTTCTGTCGGGGGAGATAGCCGGCCCGTGCCGGAAAGTTCCCAACTTTCCACCTAAGAAGCGGCACAATTTCTCCACGGAACCACTTGCCGCACCGTGCGGACAAATGGGGAAAAAAAAAGAAGAAAAAGAAAATTGAGGCTTAATCTGAAAATGTGTGCCCTCCTGTCTCCAAGTACTGCGTCGGCTCATGTCCTGCTCATGACATCATCATTCGTCTCCCCGGGCAATTCATTTATTTCTCATGGCTCGCTCGCTCATTTCCTTCCCCTGTTATCTATTTAACGTCCTGGCCCCCAGGCCTCCGTTGTGGTTGGGGGTAAGGTACGAGTCTGTGCGGTGGACTGGGGAGGAGAAGGGGGAGGAGGAAGAGGAGTGATGGTATGAAGACTGGGCTGAGGAGCGCAGAAGGGCATTCGAATTTCCACCACTCTGGGGCTGTTGAAGGTTGAGGATACTGTCGATGGCGCTCTGCAGGTGCTCGTTCAGGGTGTCGTCCTGGGGGCTGTCACTGGAGAAGCTGGCGTTGTCCACGTCAAACTGCTCTGACTTCAGCCTTTTGGCTGATGGAAGGGTCATCTCCCAATTCAACTCAGACTCATGATCTCTTGGTTCGGACTTGACCACCGGTCGGTAGAATCCTGGCTCGTCATCCTTGGGGTCTCTTTTCAAGCTCATGGTCATCTCATTACTATTCCTCTTGGATTCTCCTCTGCTGAAGAACACCAGCTTTGGGCTTTCTTCTTTCTTCACCTTTACACTCTCTGGGACTCCTTGCACCTTGTGGGATGTAATGACGCTTCTGCATTCATCTTCCTGCTTTATTGCCTGGGTCATAACTGGTACTTGTGCAGGTGTTTCGACCGCTGACCTGGTGTCTGTTGGCTTACCGGTCACAAAGGCGTCTACGTTCTCCCGATACGTCTTACGAAGGGGTAGCCTGCAGAATGTGGCCATGGGCTTCTTTTCAACAGGTGATGAATGGTCCAGTGTACCATTCATCTGCCCAGAGGGTGTGGTGGTTGTGACTGTGGCTGGGGTTGGGTTGACAGTTGTCTTGATGACGGTGCTGGCGGGTGTTGTGGGTGGGGCAGGAGGTGGAGGTGGCGGTGGAGGGTTGTGATGAACAGGATCTAAAGCAGTGTTATGGATGACTTTGCTCAGCCCTGCCTCCTGCTTGATCTTCAACTTCAGCCCGATACGACTACGGGCCTCGTATGTTTTGATTGGAGGTCTGCTGCGTGAAGGGAGTGCGTCGTCATCTGCATCAAGCGACTGTGAGGCTTTGGCCCAAGTGACAGAGGGAGAACCCCCACTGCTGTGCTTGATCACTAGCTTGGTAGGGTGTATTGGTGTGGAGGTCTGCATTGCAGGGGGTCTGTGGGTCTCTGCTGCAGGGGCAGGACACGGCGAGGAAGAGACGGAGGTCACAGAAGGGGTTACAGTCTGAGACCGTGAAGAAGAGGAGACGTATTCATCTGCAGAAGAAAGAGTGACAGTGTTATCAAACATTTGTCAGGGGAATAAATCTCTTCTCACATAGATCCATATGAATTCAACTCTACACCCACACCCCTACATACATGGCTAGAAACCTATTCCTCATATCAAGAAACACCACTGGCCACCTTCCCCAGGCAGGGTAACGTGATAGTGTCATTGCAACGGACCACCCTGCCCCTCCATACTCTTATCAGCACTCCCTTGCTGCACCTTCTCAATCATAGCCAGCACTAAAATCCTGAGTATCGGCTGGAGTTTGGGAGGAGGAGGAGTCTGTGTTCTCAGATCATTAATGAATTGTGCAGGGCTGACACCCCACGCTTAGGAATTTAGATCTGTGTTGTCATGTCACAGAGGACGGTAGGAGCACTTTATTCCTGGCACATGAACAGTTATTGTTATGTATCTGCAGCCGGTGTAAAATATTGGGATATGTGTATGTATTCCAGAGATGTATAAAATAGTTATTTGTTTATTTTGCCTTGACATACGCTCCCAAAGGGTATACAGTATGCAAAAGGCAATTTCTTTCTTAACAGGTACAAATTAAATATTTCATATGAATGCAAACCATTAGCAGCAAGTAGTAATTCTAAAACAAACTCTATGCAGCCTTATACTTTTTGAAGGCTCCTTCTTGCAGCTGTTAGGCTATAAATAGAATGCTGAATCAGTCATGGGAAGGCCGCACTCCCCCCTCCTCCTTGTGTTGGCAAAGATGGGACAATGATGGGATTAGTCTGCAGAGGCAGCCAGAACGCATGCAGGCAATTCCGTCTGACAAACCGTGCCATGGAAGCACCTTGTAATAAAGATTTACTTTTCAATAAAGACTTCACACAAATAAAGAGCGCGCAATTCTAAAAAACGAAACTTCAGTATATAAACATCCTTCCATGTGGTGGCTGCACAGCGTTCACAGGCTTCTTTCCCTTTATCTGTCTGAGGGGGGACAACACTCACTTGTACTGGATCTATAGAGGGAAGTCATGCTGGTCACCCCAGGCTGCTCTCCTGATGTAGACCTCAAGCATGTTTTCCTCATTACATGGAGGGAGGGGGGGCGAGTAGTTTACAGAAGAATGTTTGTGCTTTCACGGGAGGTGACAAGGACACGGTTTCTGGTAAGAATATAAATCAGATCATTTTTGTACTCGCTGAAAACATTCTCACCCTGAAAAAGGAGAACTAATGCAGCCGCCACATCTAAAATAAATAGTTAAGCTGCACTATACAGTAAACTCTTATCCGGAATTTCCCGTGGATGCCGGGTAACGGGAAGTTTACTGTATTACATTATTGTTCTTGGGTTTAGTATACAATTCTGTATTTTTATTAAACAACTTATAAAAAAACTTTGAAAAAGAAAAAAAAGTGACCAAAAAAAACAACTAATTTTAATGGAAATCTCTTACTAGTTGCTGCACACCAGCTGAAAGTTAGGATCAGACATAAACTGGCCACATATTACAATCGGTTTCTAAACTTCACCATCTCTTATAGATTTAATAACGGCCGTGTAGTATTAGGACCTAAACGACCCATTCATGGATATCCTGTCAGGTTTCCCACGGCACCACAGAACTGTAAATCTAAAGGAGATTGTATAATCAGATTGTAACTTATGTGGCCATAGTGAGTACAGCCCAGTGATTCTGGTTATGGTTCCTCACTGATTAAAAGGAAAAAGAGTCTATGTGGCTTATTCTGAAATCTCGGCGGATGTGTGACAATTCTGAACAAAGTCCCTAATTCATAAAAAGTCATTAGAGGGAGACACCACAAACCTATATACATAACAGAAACCCGAATTAAATGAAATAATCATTTGCAAATAAAACAAATACTCGATATTTCAATTTAAGAATATAAAGAAAGTCCCAATTAAAGTCAGACATTCTGTGCGGCCTCCTAGTGGTGAAGTTGGGGATGTGCATTACCTGGTCTTTCCTTTGCCAACTGTCGGTCCTGAGACAGAGCAACTTTCTCCTCCTGAATAAACATTCTGTCGATCATTACCATCTCTGCAGAAGGACTCACTCTCTGCACAGGAAGAGAAACAGTGGTCAGACCACAGCAATAAAATCACACCATACACAGTAAAAGATTCAAGATGGCCCCCATTTTAGTAGCAGCCTTCTAAGTCATCAGTTAGAAATCTGAAATGTGCATTGTGAGCGGCCAGAGCAACGCTACACATATGCAAACGTCACGTGAGCACCAAGGCAGGCCGGCTTACGGTTTTGGTCTTTTTTGTTGTGTACGTATCCTTTAGTGGTCAACATTGCGCTAAACTGGATATAGGGCTCCAGTTAGCACAATGTAGGGCTCCGGTGATCTTCACCATGCAGCCTCGCCATCTCACAGATTTTATCCAAAAGCTACCCCGCAGGTTAGAGCCTGTGTATGAATTCTGGGGGTTTATTACTTTAAAATGTAAAGCTGGTCAAACTTCTCAGAAAAGCTTTGCACTGAAAATAATTTAAACCACAGCATAGAAAAAAAGGCTTTGTGGCTTCGGTAGGCCACACAGGGGAGATTATGGGGTCCCTGTGGCTTAGGTAGGTATATTATATGCAGATCTGCATCGCAGATCGTATGAGCAGGAGATCCGATCTGCCCTGGAACAGCGGATCGTTCCTGAAATGTCACTTCTATCTGACTTTGTGAGTGCAATCTCACATTCCACCGCAGTCACAAAGTCGGATAGAAGTGACATTTCAGGAACGATCAACTGTTCCAGGGCAGATCGGTTTGCCTGCACATACGATCCACGATGCCAATCTGCCCTGGAATAGCTGACAAAGCATTGGAATGCTTGACCTAAACGGGTGGTCACAAATTCCACTGCCGAAAAACTGGGTGGGATTACGTTAAAATGTGTGACCAATCACACATTCCAACCTAGTCACAAACTTTGAGAGAACACCGGCTTCAGAATTACAGTGCACCGAATGCTTTCGTTTAGCACTCCCAGAGACCTGCAGGCAATGCCTGAAGGGGGGAACTTTCCTAGCAAACCAAAGTTGAAAAGGACTATTTTGATTGGCTGCAGTTGACGGACTTATTCATCAGTGTTACTAAAAGTCTACGGTCTCCTTTTTTATTCAAATAATCCTTAGAGAACACAGAATCGAGAAGGCTCCAAGGGGCACTCTCCGACTTTGTTGTTGAAGCCCTTGTTTTCCCAATCCTTATAAAGGAGGTTGTGTGATTGTCTGATTGCCACTTTTATTATTCTGAACAAGGACTAAAATAAGCCATACAACAAAACTCAGCGTCTCACCATTTCTGTGCCATTGCTTGTATTAGAACTACAGAAGCATTTTATTTGCGGAATACAGTCACAAAACGTTTGAAGAGCTGTTATCACCTTTGCAGCATCTTATTCATCAATCAGCTAGATGTAGGTCAAGACATTTTCTAATGGAGGTAATCGGTCTAATGTGACTGCTTTCAGAGCTTCTACTTCACAGAATATACACAGTATGTCACCAGTACCATAGTGGAGACATCTGACATTCTGTAACCCTCCCCCAAATTACTGACCACCATGTCCCCTTTAAAAAGAGAAGTAAAGCCTTTTTGGCTTTACCTCTTTTTGGTCACAGGTGTACATTTCCAAATGTTTACCTGTGACCCAGAGTCAGCATATAGCTGGCTACTGCCCCGTCTATGGGGACCGTGAAGGAAGGTTCCCAACAATATGGTCAGGCTCCACTCCGGCTGCCTGATTGACAGCTGACTCTGCCTCTCTAAATCTTGAGTCGGCTGTGTCCGTCCCCTCCCGTCTGTCCCTCCAATGAGCGCTGGAGGGATGACCAACGGTCTCTTCTCCCTGCGAGGAGCGGTGTCTGTGAGCTGAACTATCAGTGGTTACATGATTGTTTATCTCACGCATGTTGCCGAATACACTGTTCCCCAGTCTCAAATAAAACTTGTCCCTGTGATCTCAGCTAAAGGAGCTTGCAGACTGGCCTTTAGGCAGAGGTGGCCAATTAGTAGCTTGACCTGAACAACGTTCACTTCCTTTGCTGGAAATCATATGGACAAATGCCTAGGTAGAGCTGGCATCAGAGCCACATAAATAAACTATCACAGAACTCTTCCTTTTTTTTTTGTATTGACTTTTTAAACACAAGGGGCAGGGTATTCAGAATGGGGGAGAGACTGACTCGTAAAAGGTCCAACTTAAAGGAGAGAAAACATGGACGCTACCACTGCTGACCTCTCCTGCTGAAAATGGTTGTTGCCTGCCTGCCTAACTGAATCACAACGGATAAATATGAGAGGTGTCCTAAAAAAATTATTTCTAAAATATAACATTGTGCAATATACAATTGTTGTGGGTTTCATTTGACATCTAGATATACCCTGAGCATTACAATTATCACTGCTGGAGATACTCGTGTTGGGCAATGCGCATTAGTAAACATAATGAACACATCACAGGAGTGAGCTTGGAGCGTTGACTACTTTACAACACACAGGGACCATGGGGAACAAAAGTAGCCCCCCTCCAGAAGGAAGGACAGTGTCAGCACCAATTCAGAGATGATTTGAGGATCTACAGCCGAGTGATACACAAACAAGATACATTTTTGTTCATAGTTAAGCTAATTTAATGTATTTTTAAGGTTTAACTCCGGAGTTTAGTATCACTTTAAGTAGAAGACGACTCTCAGAAGAGTGCTTTTGTGTGATGGATATCTCTCAGAGAGAGTTCCTCATATGAAGGCTTTTATGTCTAACAGACAGTAAAGTCAAAGTGCTTTTATACTCACCCTGGACTCTTCTAAAAGCAGCAAGCGATACTTGTTCAGCATGGCCTGGGTGCGCTTCAGGAGCTGAGTAGACATTGTCTCAAACTCATCATCCACTAGACAAAGTTGAGAAATAAAGTTGTGTCATTCAAATATGGGCAACTCGAATCATAAAAAATACACACGGGTACTTGTGAATGAAAAGGGAACAAAATCTATTAAAAAAAAAACAAACGGTTGCCTGTAACTGATCAGTTTCTGATTGTTATTCATATAGTCCAGGACACGGAAATGGAACAAGGACTCCGAATGGTTGATATGGGCAACAAGACATTTTCTTTTTAGCATATTTTTGGATGGCTCACAGAGCGGATAGTAATGAGAGACATCAGATGTATGCATTTATAAATGTGAGAACCTTTAAAGAAGATAGAACTCACCTTTTCTTAGGTCATTTGGATTGGGCAGCAGACCCTGGTACACGTGGTAGGGAAGAAGTCTGTGCAAGGCATCTTCAAATGAGTGGAAGGGTGTCTTGTAATCTGGGTGCAGGACTGTGCCCTGGTGTTTATGGAGCTGCTCCAGGAAGCTGCAGGAACCACAAGATAGTCATGGGTATAACAATAAAGCATTTTACATAAAAGACTTTAGCCAGTCTTGTGACTTACTGTATACCCCAATGCCACATGCACAGCTAAACATGACCACTCATTTTATTATGTCAGTTTACGTTTCCTTTGTCATCTGCCTGCTCATTGGACAAGGATTCTAAAGGGTGATGTGTATTCAATACAAATGGAGCGCCTTACCCCAAACTGTTTGTCTATCTCCTACTCTGACTGCCTTTAGGTGAGCCCCGAAGACTCATCTCTTCAGGGAAGCCTATCCCACCTCAACCTAACCGCTCAACCATCACATTCTCAAACAATTTATCCCCACACAGCTACCTCCTCATGTATCACTCGCCCCTCCCTTTTAGATTGTAAGCTCTCACGGACAGGGCCCTCCTTACCATCTTGTCCTAAAATTGTATTGTAATGTTTTCATTATATTGGAAATCACTGCACAAACTGTTGGCGCTCTATAAATCCTGAATAAAAATAATAATAATAATGAGGAGGTACTTTAAAAGGGGTGCTATGACTGAGAAATACTGCACTAAATTGGAGGTCGGCATCTGGTGGGTCATTAGAATATCTGGTATCATACAATCTCATCTAGGTGTGCACACTGCTAGATACAAAATACATTGCCAAGGAAGGCACATCATTTATAGGTCCCACAGTAAAGGCAAAGGCACATGACCCAAACACTTAAGCTTGAATCGTTAAAGTGGGATTAAAGGAGAACTATGAGATGAGTGATTTCCACTCACCTCATAGTTCTAGCCGACCTGTGACAATGAGACTGTCACAGGTCGGCTCAGTAGATCGGGAGGTGAGCGAACACATACCGGGTTCGCTCACCCCTCGATCCTGTCACTGCTCTCTGCCGTGGGAGGGGCTGGTTTTGAATATAACATGGGTGCAAAAAATGAAAAAAGGGCCTCAGTCATGAAGGGGTTAAAAAATAAGGAAAACGTTATTTTGTGCATGGTAACACCGTCCTACTTGTGACAAGCTTGCTGGCGCCCTCTGCTGCACAGATTAGTACCAGCAGAAAACCAAGTCCATCAACTCGGGCCTACACAGATGAACATGCTGTGGACATCTCTCGCACGCTCTGTACAAATACAGTGTTTGCTCACCAGGCTTCCTTGCTTGGCTGTAGTGTCTGATGTTTTTTCAGCGTTCCAAATTTACTATCAAACTAAAAAGCAGAACAAAACAGAAATCTGATTACATTAATGACAAATACACAACAGCTTTACAGGTGATAAGAATCTCTTATCTGATCCCAGAATATTTCAGCAGCAATTTAATAGGCTGTAAGTCAGAGTTTATCAATGTTTTTGTCGGCGGTTCCCCAATTCGTTGTTATTCCCCCTTGTATACATATAAACGAAGAAATCCTGTTTTAGTGTAAATTGACTTTGTATGCATCTCCAAAATCCACACAAATAGAAATATAAATGGCTTTGTCATCTATTGTTAAAAGTAACATACACTCCATGAACATCTCAGGCTAAATGTGAACATTACTTTTAACTGGTGCCTCAAACCGGTGGCTCAGAGGGATTACCAAGCCAATCATTCAGGATTTGGGTCATTTAAAACTTTTATTCTGGAAGGAAGCCTTCTTTGTCCTCTGGAATGGTAGAATCTCTGCACTGTTAAGTCGAAACAGAATTATGCCCCTACAAAACCCACTTTTATAGCTCGAGGTGTCCCTATGTTTCACATAACCCAGGCTGCGAACCACTCTTGTAAGGGTTATGCCTGAAGTACAAGCTGTAGCCCAAGGGCAACCTGCAGCCCTCCAGTATTTGTTGTGTGGCCCTTGGACTCCCAAAAGTCTGAAGTGGGAGCACCGACTTGTAAAGGTGTAATAGCAGTGGTCTCTTCAATCCTCATGAATCATGTCCGCAGACTCTCGCTGTCTTCTGCATCATATCGGAATTTTCCAACCAAAACCTGAAACATCCCTGCAGTCTCTGACCATCATTTCCCCTAGTATGTCTGCAGTCTGATCATCATTTCCTCTAGTATGCCTGCAGTCTCTGACCATCATTTCCCCTAGTATGTCTGCAGTCTGATCATCATTTCCTCTAGTATGCCTGCAGTCTCTGACCATCATTTCCCCTAGTATGTCTGCAGTCTGATCATCATTTCCTCTAGTATGCCTGCAGTCTCTGACCATCATTTCCCCTAGTATGTCTGCAGTCTGATCATCATTTCCTCTAGTATGCCTGCAGTCTCTGACCATCATTTCCCCTAGTATGTCTGCAGTCTGATCATCATTTCCTCTAGTATGCCTGCAGTCTCTGACCATCATTTCCCCTAGTATGTCTGCAGTCTGATCATCATTTCCTCTAGTATGCCTGCAGTCTCTGACCATCATTTCCCCTAGTATGTCTGCAGTCTGATCATCATTTCCTCTAGTATGCCTGCAGTCTCTGACCATCATTTCCCCTAGTATGTCTGCAGTCTGATCATCATTTCCTCTAGTATGCCTGCAGTCTCTGACCATCATTTCCCCTAGTATGTCTGCAGTCTGATCATCATTTCCTCTAGTATGCCTGCAGTCTCTGACCATCATTTCCCCTAGTATGTCTGCAGTCTGATCATCATTTCCTCTAGTATGCCTGCAGTCTCTGACCATCATTTCCCCTAGTATGTCTGCAGTCTGATCATCATTTCCTCTAGTATGCCTGCAGTCTCTGACCATCATTTCCCCTAGTATGTCTGCAGTCTGATCATCATTTCCTCTAGTATGCCTGCAGTCTCTGACCATCATTTCCCCTAGTATGTCTGCAGTCTGATCATCATTTCCTCTAGTATGCCTGCAGTCTCTGACCATCATTTCCCCTAGTATGTCTGCAGTCTGATCATCATTTCCTCTAGTATGCCTGCAGTCTCTGACCATCATTTCCCCTAGTATGTCTGCAGTCTGATCATCATTTCCTCTAGTATGCCTGCAGTCTCTGACCATCATTTCCCCTAGTATGTCTGCAGTCTGATCATCATTTCCTCTAGTATGCCTGCAGTCTCTGACCATCATTTCCCCTAGTATGTCTGCAGTCTGATCATCATTTCCTCTAGTATGCCTGCAGTCTCTGACCATCATTTCCCCTAGTATGTCTGCAGTCTGATCATCATTTCCTCTAGTATGCCTGCAGTCTCTGACCATCATTTCCCCTAGTATGTCTGCAGTCTGATCATCATTTCCTCTAGTATGCCTGCAGTCTCTGACCATCATTTCCCCTAGTATGTCTGCAGTCTGATCATCATTTCCTCTAGTATGCCTGCAGTCTCTGACCATCATTTCCCCTAGTATGTCTGCAGTCTGATCATCATTTCCTCTAGTATGCCTGCAGTCTCTGACCATCATTTCCTTTAGTATGTCTGCAGTCTCACAGTTCTTTCTAACATTACATATACTAAACATTATGTGTGGCCCTCTGTTGATGCCAGGGCCCCCAGTGTAGGCCCCCTGTAGCTTGTGAGTTGACCATCAGTGCTCTTGGGTAAGAATAGAAAAATTGTGGCCTCAATACAGTAAGGGTAGGGAATATCTAGAGTAGAGATAGTCCGGGGAAGGATAAAGACAACTGAATCAAGCCGTGTACTCTACAGACAACGTATTATTGATGACATTACAAATAGCTGGCCATAGGAAGCCACCTGTAAGTAACAATGGTGGACATATCGGTCATTGAATAAGACTACAGTTCAATTTCTTTTTCTCTCCAGCTAGAACCGGAACTCTCAGGGCACATACCTGCGTCTGGGTGCCAGGTACAATCTGAGAGATGCCTTTTCCAACAACTTGGATTTGCAGAGAGCCCTTTCCCAGGCTGATAGTAGGCACTGAGCTGATGACTCCGGTTTTAGCCTGAAACAGAAGAAACCAAAACAAAGGTGTTCTCTATGTGTACACTCCTTGTCCTCGGGTGTTACATTCCCCATTGATTTTGGTATCAGGATTGTATAGTCGGTACGGTTCCTCACCTGGGAGTGCACAGGGACAGCGTTGATAGGTTTCCCCTGCACCACAAGCGGTTTCCCACTCGTATTGGAGAAACCAGATGCGTCTTGGGGTCCGGGACCAGATGTGGCACCTGTAGACATTACAAGGTAAAACATAAGTCTTGCAGCATGCAGGCTGTTATATGTAGCTATGAACAACACACAAATCAAAGAGAAACAAAAGTAGGGTTCCTGTACTCGCCATAATAGCCATTTTTGCAGTCCATTGAGTGACATAGGCAGTTATTCACATTTGGGTTATACTGATGCCTACTGGAACCTTAGACACTGACAAACGAACAAAAAACAGTAGGCCAAGTCAAGATAACTCCGAACACTAACACCAGCATGCCTCTTGCCGTGGCAGGCCTCTGGTTCCTCGATGCGATGGTTGATATATGACACTTTTGTGGTTGTCGACTAGCCAACACTACAAAGATCAATGCTCCCGGATTCTGATTGGGAGATGAGATTCCTCCAAAGACCATGTCACCTGTACCAACAGGGTGCCCGGGACACCTCCCCAGCACAACAGGTTGGCATCCATCATAGAGATCTTTCGAAAGATGCAAAGGAAATACTTTTGTTTCCATAAGTGGATCACTGAGCTACCAAGCCAGGGAAAGCCTGGTCCTTGGTGTCAAATGAAATCGGTCTGTCCAGGGACTAGACTGGCTTCTCCCATGATGACTGAATGTTGTATGGCAAGAGTCAGGAGTGAAAAACGGGCAATGTGACTACCCTGAAGGAGGCCACCATCAGAGCCAGGACCCTCATGCAAAAGCGAAGTGTTGGTTGACTCCTAGAGTGAAGAGTTTGAACCTGGGAGCCGGAATTCTCTCCTGAAGGAGAAACCCTGGCCTGAGCTACGCCCAGGACTAGACCCAGATGTTGAGTCGGTTGCAGCGATGATTTCCGTAGGTTGAGGATTCATTGTAAGGCCTAGACAGTTAAGGCCACATTGGCCAACAGAGCTTGTGCCAACAGTTCCTTAAAACAGAAGGTTGTCTAAGTGGCCCACAATGGGGATGGCACGAGAATGTAGAAGGGCTAGTACGGAGACCAGCACCGTGGTGAACGCCTAAGGTTATCCAGGGATTTGTTTTTTTTGTTTGCCAGTGTCCAATACTCCTGTATGCGGCAGTATGACCAGTAGGTGAATGACTTGTGTCAATGGATGAAAAAACAACATTTGTATAGTTTCTAATGCTGTAAGAAATATGGAAAGGTAAGATAATCTAGAAATAAAATGACCTCTTAAAGCAGGTGCCCAGAACTCATTTGGAGTCATGATGTGGCTGTGCCCTCCCTCCCACCATTGCATCATCATAAATGACATATTGATGCACTAGAAGTATTATTCTTATTGGAGTCAGAGACAAGAGTGGTTTTCATGACTCATTTAGACATGAGATGCTAAGTAGGAAGAGCGTCCACAAACTGGTTTTTTTTTTTGGCTTAACTAGAAGATCAGGTGTAGAAGGCCAACTTAATATTGTATTAGGGCTGCAGTCAGAACATCTTCCTCATGCACTGTTCACGGAGCCATACAGACCTCTCCCCGCTGTGTTCATGTACACTTAGCTGTTTTGCAGCGTCCATCTCATAGGACTTTGCTCAGCAAAACTGACAAGTGCAGCCCAAAGCAGGCAGAGGTCAGATAGCCTCTTAGAGGCCTTTTACAAGTTCTTATCCTCAAGTGGCCCCATAAACAGGAAGTGCTTTCTCCTGAAGGGGCTATTCTCTGCACTTACATTGTGGTTATTTAATGAAGAAGCAAGCATGATTTTTTTTAAAGCCCAGTTAAGCCTTCAGTTTAAATCAGTTAAAAACTGCAATTAATCCGAAGGGTGTGCAAATGCTTACAGTATGTTCTATTTCTAAAGCAGTCACAGCCTGAGTAGAAAAGTCTGTCCCCTGCTTCTTTTTTTTTTTAAATTGTAAGACTTTTCTGTTGCTTTGATGCGTCTGGAATGTGTTCGAGAAGAACTCTGAGCAGAAACAAAAATGAACCCTTGTAGTGGGGCTACAGCAGCACTGTAAGGGTTAAGTGCTCCTTTTGGTCTAGGGGGTCAAATAGAAAAAGATACACTCACCTGATCCTCGGACCCACAGCCTCTTCTTCCTCTTCACTCTGATGGTCTAATGACCCGTAAATCACCACGTCTAATACATTGTATTAAAAAAGGTGAGGACACAGAGGGACAGCGCGGAGGGGGGGGGGGGGGGGGAGAGATGGACCGCAAGGACCAGTCAGGTCTGAGGGTCAGGTTATTACATCTTTTTTGTTTTACACCCTAGACCAAAATGAGCACATAACCCTTGCAGTGTGGGGCTAGCCCCACTGCAAGGGTTATGCTTAATCCTGCCTGGAGTTTTTCTTTAGGTGAAGCCTCTCAAGTACTAAATTACAGATTCTAATGTAACATCAGCATTTCTGCAACCTATACATACAAACATCACACTAACTCGCGTCAAGTCCATATAGTTTCATCAGCACAAAACATTGCAAATAGCATTTTCCCATTACTGCACAATAAAAGACATTGGGGGAAATGTATCAAAACTGGAGCAGACAGAATCTGGAGCAGCAGTGCACTGCAACCAATCAGCTTCTATCTCTCATTTTCAAATCCCAACTGAGCAGACCGAATAGAGATGCTGATTAGTTGCCATGGGCATCGGCTCCAGATTCTGTTTGCGCCAGTTTATATAAATTCCCCCCTCTGCATGCCCCAGCCTCAACATCTAGATAGAGGCCAGGAGATTTATGAAAATTGGACAAAAAGAGAAGCTGCAGCCAAAAGCAACATATGAGGTTTCATGTTTTAGAGCGGAGAAGCAATCTGATTAGTTTTCATGGGCAACTGATTATTGATATTAATACCGAATATTAATATCAACACCAATTGACGATGTTAAGTTAGGTTACAATGTAATTGCCATAGCTAGTAGTCACACTCAGCTGGGCTTATATTTTTGCTAGGGATGCACAGATACTGGTTTTTCCGTATCGAGTACAAGTATCGATATTTTGCTTTCTGTACTCTCCGATACCAGTGCTTCCGCTGGCATGGAGCCAGCTTCCCAGGCAATTAGGAAGTCGGGCGGCAGGTAATGGCATACCACCCGGCTTCCTGGTTGCCCGGGAAGCTGGCTCCATGTTGTTTGGTCGGCTCGATTGTGATTTCCTGGGAAAACGGCTTCCCAGCTAGCCAATCAGCATCGAGCCGCCTTCCCGGCCAATCAGGAAGCCGGGCCGCAAGTAATGACCAGCCTCCCGATTGCCCGGGAAGTCTGCTCCATGTTCCCCTATGGCATTGCTCTACGGATTTCCACTGACTGGAAGTTCCGGTATTGGCGAGCATCTGGGTGAGATCGAGTACTCGCCCAAATACTCAGTATCGGTGCATCCCTAATGTTTGCCACCCATTAGAACTGATGAAGCTACTTGGACGAGTGGCAAAACCTCTTCAACATCCAGCTGATTGTGAATGACTTAGTACTAGCCATACCATGCAAAATCAGAACCTTCAGGCTTATGATTGCCATAAGGAATAAATGTCATTGCTTTTTTCCATGAACAATCAACCTCTGCCCATAGCAAATAAACATATCCTTCAACATACCACAAATCCAGCCCACCCACCTGACGTCTTCACTAGAACCGATGCCTGCTGCTGCTGCTGCTGCTGAAGTAGTGTTGAAAGCTGAGCCGCCTGGGTCATGGCTCCTGTCTGCACCTTTGTCAGATCGCCGTGTGCCACAGAAGTTTGCTGCACCAACACCTGGCCAGGGGAGTGCCCATGCAGAGGGCCTTGTGTTGGTCCTTGCTGCCCTTGTCCACTGATCATCACCGAAGACTGAGCGTTGTATTGCCCAGCGAGAGCAGGGGATGTTTGGGCGCCCCCTTGTGACTGCTGAGATTGTATCATCAGACTCTGCTGCTGCTGCATCTAGGAATCAAGGCATAAGAAAAAGGTAAACGTTAGATATTTATCAAAGAAAAAAAAAGCACCTTTATTCAAAATGTCTCACTTCCAATACCTGGATAGGTAGCACAGCTACAGCAAGATACCCTCACAAAAGTCTTACCCAGCACAGCGGTGCAAAGTGCAGAAACTGACAACAGCCAGTCAGCCCCAAGACTACTGAAGTCGTCAAATATTAACCTCTTGGCTGTCGTTTGTTGCCAGCCTCTGCACAACGTTTCCCTACTACACGAAAAAAAACAACAAGCGACTATGGTCTCAAGGCTAAGTTTATCTTTTGGACTAAGTTTCATGTTACGCCCATATTCAGGGTGTAACATGGTCACAACTAAACCCCGCTGCCCCTCACATGAATCGCAGGGGGGGGGGTCCTCTTTATTTGACGTGGATGTACGTGGCTCCGCCCACATGGCTAAGTCACACGCCAGACTTCTAGTCCATTCATTCCTCCTCTTGTCCATGTTATTGAATATCTGTAGCACGTTACGGACATGGACAGAAGGCAGAATCTGCAACCAGAGCATTGCACTCACGATCCACTGATCAGTTTCAATACTTTAATGGCTCCAATGCAAAAAAAAAATCCACATTTTTCAATTTTATGAAGGCTCCATTTGTTTTTCTTCAAAAAGTGGACTTTACCTTTAAAAGGTCAACTTCAGCCAAAACTTTTGCTTTAGTTCTCGGGAAAGTGATAGAATCAGTGGCAGGTTTTTATTGCTGTGGCCCCCTTTGAGATTTCTCCTGATATTTTTGCAATTTTTGCACCCAGGACAGGAAGAAAAGGGGAAAACTATCCCAAACAGCAATGCTTTTAGAAGAGAACAGGCACCATGGAGGTATTTGTGTGTTGCAGTCCATCCCTCAGAGGGGGCCTAGGTAATGCTATGTTTCTAGGAAGTCAGGCCACAGGTATATCCCTTACCCACATCCCCCAACGCAATGCTGGAAAGCTGGCTCAGTAATTGACAGGCCCGGTCATTCCCATGTAGGAGGTTGGGGGGGGGGGAGGGGCTCATCCAAGAAATAATTTGTTGTTGTTGTTTAGCTACAGATTCACTTTAAACCTTTATAAAAAACAGTCAAAAACATGCAATGCTTCTAATTGCACTCAACCGCACTGATTTTTTAAACATTTTTTAAAACAAGAGCAATGCTAGAGGTGCTGCCCGCAGCAAACATATTCTTAGTTGTAATGGATCACAGCTCTCATCTTCTGCTCTGAAACGGCATGTGTGAACCTGTGCCCAGATTATGGCCACTAAAAGCACACACATTCTTAATAAGTGCTAAAAGCCCTTTAAAAACCAAAACCAGCCCTCATTCATCAAAGTATCTATATGCACTGTGGAGAAAATCAATTAGTATATCATGTTCTGCAAAGAGCGACAACGCTCAACATGAAGTTCCCCATTATTTTATATGGTGACGGCTCCCACCTTAGTGTTGTGTAGTGTTGTTAAAATCAGCTAGAGAGGTCAGTGATGGCTTGTTTTAAAGCTCTTCTACTCCTTGTTAAGAATGTTAAAGTGACATTAAACCCTCAGATTTTTTAACATAAAACAATACTGTAATGTGTGCCTTACTGTAATCCATGGTAGTTGCCCTTCTCTTTGCTGCTCTTCCTTTTAAATCCTCATGTATTCTCATGCTTGGGAAGAACTTCCCTTTTCAGCTCAGGGCCTCTTCCTGTAGTGCTGGCTCAGGTTGTGAACCTACACACAGACACCATGTAACCATTCGTGAGACAAGGCAGTCTGCTGCAAAACAGAAGTTCTGCCTAGCATGAGAACAGTTACAAATTTAAAAGGAAGAGCAGCAAAGAGAAGGGAAACAACCATGGATTACAGTAAGGCGCACATTACAGTATTGTTTTATGTTAAAAAATCTGAGGGTTTAATGTCACTTTAATACTTTAAATGGCTAAGTCTGGGCACAGGGGCACTTTTAGAAGGACACAACTGCACCACAAATCCAAAGCTCTCACCTGCTGGTACCGCTCCAACAGCTGTTTCTGCTGGGGCAGGGTGTTGGCCAAGGTCAACGCCTGGAACTGGCTGGGGGTCATCTGAAAGGTACGTTGCTGGTCCTGCGTTATGTGGATTGGCTGGCCCTGGTGTTTAATAGATGCCTGAGCCTGGAACTGCACCGGGAATGAGTGGGTCTGGGAGGAATCGGAGGTGGGTGGTGTGGCCTGAAGAGAAATTGGGACACCTGTCCGGCTGTCAGGTTGGGAGGTGCTCAGTTGTACTTGGAGCTGTACATGCTGCTGAGGGGACGATAGGGTTTGCTGCATTTCAGCAGACAGTGACTGATGAGGCGGGAAAGGCGACTGTACCTGAGGCTGAGAAGGAGGACGCAGAGGGTGCTGGGAAGAACTGTGAGGAGAGGAGATTTGGTTCTGAATGACAAACAGATTCTGCATCTGAGGAGTACAGGATCGGGAAAGGGGCTCGGAGGGAGGGCGAGCGAGACTCTGAGGTTGAGATGGAGGCCGAGAATGAGGACGAGACGGTGGCCGAGAAGGAGGACGTGACTGGTGTGGAGACTGCATCTGTGAATGGTGGGAGGCCGAGGCCTGCACCTGGGGGCTGGGTGGGTGAGGTAGTGTGTGGGAAGGCGAGGCTCCTGGAAGCTTCTGTTGTCCGGTGGGAATCTAAATGAGAGAATAGAGCGTTAGGAGGACAGTCATGTACACCGCAGGCCAGTGACTGATCATACACCGCTATGTGGTTCCAGCCATTAACTGTGCTACAAAACCTGCGAGCACACCTTAGTATTAGTAGTGCTGCTAAATGAAACAAAAAACACTAATACAACCCGATCACAAAATCATTTCCAGACATTCTAAACCATTTTATTATCACTCAGCAAGAATGAAATAAAAAACATACAAATCCAGTATGAAGACATGACCACAAGAGCCTCCATAGGTAATACAGGAGCTGCTTATAGAAAAGGGGGATCTGTAGCAACGACGTGAAAATAAACTGCAACTAGGAAACTAATATTCAACATTAGGGATGCACTAATACTGGTTTTTCGGTATCGAGTATTGATATTTTTTTGGGTACTCCCCGATACCAAAAGTCCCATTAAGGAAGAGCCATCCGGCTTCCCAATTAGCAGGGAAGCCGTCTCCATGCTCCCTCGTCACCAGGTGACAGGGAGCATGGAGCCGGCTTTCTGGCCAACAGGAAGCCAGGAGGGCGGGTAATGACTCGCCGCCTGGCTTCGTGATTGACCAGCTTCTTTACCAATCAGGTAGCCAGGCAGCGAGTCATGATGAGCTGATTGGCTGAGAAGCTGGCTTCATGCTCCCTCGTCACCAAGTGATGAGGGAGCATGGAGTCGGCTTCCTGGCCAATCAGGAAGCTGGGCAGCATGCAATGACTCGCTGCCCGGCTTCCCAATACCGGAAGTTCGGGTATCGGGCTAGGCATCGCAGCATTTGGGTGAGTACTCGGTATCAGTGCATCCCTAACTACCACCATTTTATTCTATAGGGTCTTGGCATTCAGAAAATATATAATGTTGGGGGGTTTTAAGTAATTTTCAGGCCTAAAATGTGGAATATAACATGGGTGCAAAAAATGAAAAAAGGGCCTCAGTCATGAAGGGGTTAAATAGATTATAATTTTTCTAAAGGAAGCCGGGTAGACGGACATATTTTTTTGGTTCAGTTTTGTAGGCTGAATGAAAATATGAGAGATTCCTCCATCCATGCCAACAGTGTGGCTGAACAAATCTCCCGCTGTGTACATTGGATATTCTGACAGCTGGCACAATGCAAACAGCTGATTGGATGAACAGTGTTTGCAACCAATGAATTTCCAGGATGTCCCTTTGTCAAAAACCATCTACTGATTCACTTCTGTTGAAGGGATAGGGTCACCCATGGATCACATTGCAGCCGATTCCTGCTGAATTGGCCAAAATTCGTTCCATGTGTACCCAGATTTAGCCTGCACCATGGATGAGCACAACTGGACTACAGAGTAAGCATTAGGTGCTCCCAGAATACTGGAGGACCACAGCAGAAAGGCCAGCTAGATTACAAGACGGAGTCTTTCAACGTTGGCTCAACGTTTGTCAACAGTAGAACTGAAGTGGTAAGATACCAACGCGTTCCGCAATCATCTTTATCAGGAACAGAGTTAATTTCCAAAAATCAAACAAGTATATGAAGAGTCCGGTGCAAAATGCATTGGAATCTTGCCACTTTGGTTTTTACTGCAGAAGTCAATGAAGACCATTCCACCACAGCTGGAGGGCCGGAGTTTGGTTACCCCTGCCATAAACAATCTTTGCAATCATAGTCCAGGGACAAATTGATTGACAAATGAATTCAGGAGCCAGTCTGTCCATTCCAGGAGCCAGCTCCATTGATGACAACTAGATAAAACCTGAAAAGCTGGAGGCCAGTGGTCATTTTTAAGAATATGTTGTCGTCTGAAAAATTCCCATTTAAGAACTATGGGTCTATATGAACTGATTAGGGAGTCCAGCAATGCCACGTACAGCTGGTGAGCAGTGCACAGGAGGGGCAGTCAAAGCACTCGGATCTTATGCAAGTTGACATCATACAGGACCTCTAGTTTCAGTGCTCCTGGGTTGTTTTAAGATGGCTAAAGCTACATGCAGGAACCAGGCAGTGCTTGCTCAGACATGCCAAATGCTGTTATGACCTTGTGGATCCGTACAGGTACACTTAAACACACCTGTTCCTCCACACCCATTCACCCACCAAAAGGTCTCGCTGACATGAGCCAAGGCGCTGTGTCTCTACACGCAGCTCACTGCTCTGTCCTTTCCCTTAAGAATTCCGTTTCACTTTTGTGACCCATTTCTATAGTGGAATAAACATGTAATTCAGACGTACTAACAGGTACAGCTCTATCTCTCCATCATATGTGTAGTATATATTTTTTATTATTATTTGTTTAATTTTTTGTATATATGTATTATATATTTTTTTTTTTAACCAAGCAGTGCAAGTACCGTAATGTGTCTTGTCAGCCTTTTTGCAGTCCCTGTGCAGAGGTGCTTAGACTGGGGTAGGAAGCAGCTACATATTTAGCAAATCAGTTGTGCTGTAGTGAAAGAATGCTAAAGAGAGAGCAGAGTGACAAAGAAATGAGCTCATTAATCTGCTGCTTCTCCTTTTACTGTCCAGTCACAAGCTGGGGAGGGACAAGACCTGCATGTGTTACTTAAAAGGAGAATTATAAGGCAAGTGATTTACACTCATCATAGTTAGAGCTGGGAGTGACATTGAAACTACCAAATTTTGGCTCTATAGAAGGGGAAGCCAGTGAACACATATCGCCGCGTGTTCACTTTCCGATCATCTCCCTGCAAAGAACGGTGACCATCAGTCACCGCTCCCCGCAGGGATTTCCCTCTCTGATCCTCCAGCACCAACTAGAGGAACGGAGAGGGGAGGGGGCGGGCAAAGCCTTTAGATAGGCAGAGCCCGCTGTCACTCACGCAGCTGGGTGGATCTCGACAGTATTGTCGGGATCCGTCCCGACTGCGGCGCTCTCAGTATATAGCAAGCTATTGCTCACTATATACTGAGCTTTGGGTCACCAGAGGACATTAGTATCCTCCCATGACCCTAAAGAGAACTATGGGACAAAAAGGTTACCCCATAGTTCTTCAAATCAGGTCTGCTGCACTAACAGACAGGGCTGTCTCGTGTGGAAGAATTGTATAAATCTCAGGGATGGATGGACGCAAATGTAAATCATTTGGCAGGTAACACAGCTCCCATTGATGTTACTATAACCATGAATATAGTGTTGTTTGCCTGGAGTTCAGCTTTATCTGCAGAGAAAGGGCAGTGCGGCGACCTGTGTCTATAGATGCCCAGCACCGGCTTGTGTGAATGAGGCCCACGCTGGTCTCTTGTGGATAAGCACTTCCTGTTCGACTCTAGAGGCTCTTACAAATGGTCATGACCTTCATCTGATGGATTCTCTGTATAGAAGAGACATAAACCCAGAACAGTGAATGTGTCTACAATAATCCAGCAGCACAGTTACACACAGGACACAGGCGGGGGAAGCATTTCACAAGAACACACGCAGTGTGCAAGGGAAGTGAAGGATTAGGAGGAAATGAACCAGAGAACAGCAGCAGCGTTTGAGGGAGAAATTAGTAACAAAATAAAGAGCAAGCAAGAGCCAGCAGAAGAGAAAGAGGGACCCCTGAATGCCGGGCGCAGTACAGAGGGGACGCGGGCAATCCCTACACAAAACTATTGTTCTTTAACCCCGGTGACCAGCGGATGTGATATACTGCATGAATCCTGTGAAAACTGACACTTTGATGGTCAAGAAGTCTGAGCCAGGGAGCTGCCAAAATATTAACACTTCTCAGACACTGCAAGCTGAAAAATATACTACTGCTGTCTACAGAGAGAAGAGTCAGACAGGGGCAGCAGCGAGCTGCTGTAGGGTTATAGTACATGCAGCTTGTTCATTCTGATCCCATCGCCTACTTCTCCCAGGTATCTTACATACTTGCCTTTAAAATGCTGAAGTACTATCACAAAATCATAAAGGAGACCTAGGAACACCAATTTGATTAATGCCCCCCCTCTTGCTCAAGAAATTACAGGGGCAGGATGGCGACCATGCATATGGCAGGCCTTAAATAAATGATATAGCATGAAGCCCCATATAACAATTAGTGAAATATTTCATCTCGGGGGGGTTGATAAATGCCAACATTGGGATTCAAATGAAGGAAAAAGTTAAGTTGCAGGAACTAGTTACCATTTGCTGCCTATTAAAGTCCATCTAAACCCAAAAACAAAAATAGAATAGATCTCAGATCATCAATCCTTAAAGCAGAACTCAAGATTTTAAAAAGTTTAACCCTTGCAGTGGGGCTACCCCTGCACTGAAAGGGCTAACTGCTTGTTTTGTCTAGGGATCGAGAATAAAGAAGGAATACTCGCATGATTCTCTGTCCCGCTTGGCTTCTAAACTGGTCCCCGCAGCCTCTTCACCCCTGGGGCTCCGACAGTCTAAGGACCCGTGACGTCATCACATCGAATACAGGTCTATTAGATGTGAAGATGCCGAAGGACATATCACAGCCGGAGCGAAGGGGGAAGAGAGGTGAGGGAGTGATTGCCGCAGGACCGAGGATCGGTGAGTATGTCTTCTTCACCCCCCCACCCCAGAGAATAATGAGCAGTTAACCCTTGCAGTGCGGGAGTAGCACCAGTGTCAACTTTAACTTCTGTTAAGCCCTCATTCACACGACTAAAAGCCGGCCCGTACAGATTCGTGCTGCATGCCGTATCAGGACACTTCCCGGAAGGACAGGTGCTGCGTCTGATTTGTACGCAGCAGCCTGTTCTTCCCTATGGGAGTACGCGGCCGTACGCTCACCTGAACTGCACATCCGTGTGGGTACGGGTGTCCGTACTCGAACGCTGACAGGATGGATCCTGTCTGCGTCTAATCAGGGACACCCGCACGGACACGCAGTTCGAGCGTACGGCAGCGTACTCCCATAGGGAAGAACAGGCTGCTGCCTACAAATCACACGCAGCACCTGTCCTTCCCGGGAGTGGCCCGATACAGCCGTGCACGCAGCACGGATCTGTACGGGGCCGGCTTTTAGTTGTGTGAATGAGGGCTAAGAGTGGTGGCCGCATTAGTTCTTTTTTATGCCTTTAGTTTCCTTTATTTTTACCTGGTGACGCAGCCAGTAACATGCTACCTGTCTTAGGGCGACTCCGCTCTATGGAGGGGCAGTGTAACCACCCATGGACGGCAGCATTGTCAACCTAGGGTAGTGTTAGATGGACTTGGCTAACACATTTATTTGGAACTCCAGCTAACAATATTTACATTTTGGGATAAAGGTTTTACATACATGAATAAAAGCTTTGTAAGCACCCCTGTCAGTGCCAATGATTTGTTTCAGCCCTCTATCTGCCACTTTTGCTGGACAGCTTGGCCTAGTAATGGAAGTGGAAAAACAACAGACTTACTGGCTGGATCACAAAGTGAAAATAAAAAAAAAGGGAAAAAAAGTCTAAAAAAAACAAAAAAAAGAATGAAGCCAACACATTTAAAGATTGGTAAGCTGCAATATATTACAGGTTTGCTTTTGGGTTTATATACACTCTTGCCTTGGAGTGGAAACATCAGAAAGATCCTGGCTAACGTATTAGCAACGGCACTGCACTGGGGGTTGCACAGGAATTAGAAGGGAAGATCTGCCACCACACGGTTACGGGGAAGAAGACTAGAGGGAGAGCCACAGGAAAGTATTGGGTGAAAGCAGACTGAGTTGAGTGGCTACCTGGCAGGACATAGCCTGCTGTGATTGGCTGGCAGGGAAATGAGGTAAGTGTCCTTTGGATTCCGGTGTTGCTGTATGGTTCTGGGCCAGTTCGCGGTTGGACTGGGCTGCGGAGCCGGCACTGCTGCTCACTATGACGGAGGCGGGTACGCTACTGCTGCTGGAGGTGCTGCTGCTCAAAGTGCTGCCAGAAACGGCTATGCTGTAGATTGGCATTGTGAGGTGTGCGGCTGCCGAGGTCTGAACCAGGCTGCTTTCCTGTTGCGATTTCAACGCCGCTTCGTATAACTGCTGCTGTTCCTTCTGCAATGGCCAACACCAGCAACCGTCTGTTAAATACTCACTCATACAAAAAAAACTTCACATAATCATCAAAAAAAGAACATAGAACTGGAAAAAAGGATATTAAACAGTAGGCCGATTCCTATAAACTGAAGGGAGCAGATTTAATTGCTTCTAGCAAACAGATTCCATCATTTCCAAAGTGGAGGCGAGGACAATCAAAGCTGAAATCTGATTGGTTACTTTTGGCAACACAAGAGAACTGGGTCAGGAGCTTAAAAATAGCAGGTAAAAGAACAGAAAAATTTAGCAATTGGTTTAGCATTTTTCCTTTATTGACTTGCAGTGTGCCTCTGAACTTGCTGACACATTTGACTACTTAAATGTAAGTTCCCCAGCACAGCCCCCTTCTCCTTGCATGTCATAACCCTCTCCTCTTGTAGCGTCTCATTACTCTGTGCTGGCCTAGCTCCTCAGGCTCTGACTGCTGCAGCTTCCAATGCACTCCGTTAAAAGTTCCCAGTGTGCAATGAAATTAGAGCAAGCACAATCAGTACAATAGAGGAGCCGTTACAACTGTGCAAGACTGAAGGGAAGGCCGGAGTTTAGCTATAAGCTGGCAATGGCAGCTCCCTCATTTCCATCCTGTAACTTAATCCACTTTTTTCTCCCTGCTTTGGCTAGAGTTCGGGAAGGCTAGAAGCTGTCCTTTCCCTTGCTGTTTGCGTTCCTCTGGCTGGGTGTTGGGGCCTCATAATAGTGCTATAAAAGACACGGTGGGTGCGGAATACTTTTACTGACCTGCATTGTTAAAACGGCATTTACTCACAATTTGCTCTTACATAAAATCACAGTTCTCTAGTCGGAGAAGCAGTTTCCTGGTTGAGTTCTAACTTATGGCCACTAGAGGGCAGTATTCAGCATGTGCAAAGCTTTCCGTCCATTTGAAATACGGAGAAGGCCCTTGTACACTGTCATCCGGAGAGAATC